TGGGTTGATGGGTGGACGGAGGGATAAATGGATAGATATTTAGAAATTTAGAACTTACCCATGGCTTGAGGTTTGGCCATAATCTAAAGAGAAAAGACAAAATATGTCATTTTATATTACTACTTTCTCTCATATTCAACACAGCTAGTGTTTTTCAGCTAATGATAAACTTCCGGTGATGGTATAACACCTGAGGTCCAGGCACAACATGGAGACTCTAAATGGGCTTTATTTAATAATAATTTAACAGACTGAAAATAGATAAATTTGTAACCTACCAATGGCTTGGGGTTTGACCATAGACTCTTGTTTAATAAATTAAGGTTTCTAATAAAGCATATATGGGCTCTATGCACAGCTAGTGTTTTTCAGGCCAATGATAAACATCTGGTGAAAGGTTAATGTGACTATTTTCAATTTCATAAGGTTCCTTACACAGCATTGATTTTGTAATGTCATTAAAAATATATACAGCGAAATAGACCGAAGCATTCATTTAGTTGATCAAGCATAAAACAAGATAAAAGACCGCATAACTGCTAGCTTCATCAGGATCAGCATGCTAGAGCAGAAACTTCACTAAAATACTGGGGTAAAATTAACATATTTTAAAGACATGGCGAGGGAAAATGAAAATTAATGCAGTGCTTCTTGTGCAGTCTGAGACCAACTTTATATGTTGGATCTGTCAGGCAGTGAAAATCTCTGATTTGTTAAAAATTAGAACTTAAACAAGCCACTTTCAAAAAGAAATTTACCAGAAACACGGAGGCTGGCTGAAATTAAAAGTCTGTGTGCATTTAGCTCATTTAAATGAAGTCAAAATGTAGAATAGAGGCATCATATATTACAACTTAAATGTAAAACAAACACCATAGTATTATCTGGTCCCAGACATATAAGACAGAACAGTGAATTTAACATCTAAGTTAATTATACTAATATCAGAAAAAGAAAGATCATAGAGAATTATGAGACAAACAGAAACATTTATAAATAAAGCAATTGATGAATCTTGTGAGAATAAATAAATAAATAAATAAATTACAATAAAACGGTTTGATATAAATCATCATATTTCCAGGTGGTCAATAGGTTCCCAAGTTGTTAAAAAGAATTATCTTATTATTTGTTATAAATCATAATTTGCCAGTAAAGAGACCTTTGGACATATTACAATCTCCCCTTTATATATATTTGAGAGCACAAATACAGTAGTTAACGTTACTGCATGTCCATAATAAGTGAATGGTTGTACCTTCTGCTGCATTTATTTGGACCTCTGGAAACGTTCAATGTAACTTTGTTTAACTCATGTAAAATTTAAGTATAGTTTTAAATTGAATTAAGTTATGTGTTTGAATACTGCTTTCTTTAGAGGAATACAAAGAAGAAATTTAGGAAAACGTTACTGCTCCGTCCATACCATAAATGAATGTCAATGGTGAGCAATACTGTTTGGACACTGGTTCACCAGGACTCTTCAGAATACTCTTTTTCACAGAACATTTGGGTTTGAAGACATGAATGCATGTACAGGACGACAAAATATCAATTTTGGACGTAACGTTACCGCTCCTTTAAAGTAACTAACTTAAATAAATAATAAATGAGCTGGGATCTTTGCATTTTAGTTGCGTCGCTAATATGAACTTTACAGGATTCAGGGTATTTAGATAATGTAACATTATCCCTCTAAAACATTGTACGTCAAGTTTGCTGAAACTGCATTAAAATAAGTCAAATTTCGTGGTCTCGTGCTCAAATATAGGTCAGTAGAACAAACGAGCTAAACCCAAAGAGCTGCAAACAAAATGGCGGATGCCGACATGTTCTTCCTTTCGTGTTTTCACAAATTAAATAACGAATACACCAAATGAGGCCCTCGCCCGTATAACATATCCATTACATAACACATGTCCTCGGTATGCGCAAGCGAAAGACAAAGATTAACGTTATATAAATAGATGTGTTTCGCAGAAGATGCTGTGTCGGCTAAACCTTATGAATATCATAAAACCAGAAATGTTTACATGACCACATCTTACCATTTGACGCCATGTTTGGGCTTAAAATCCTTTTAGAAATGATGCAGAATAACAATTTCTGAGGTGCTATACGTACAGTCGCCTTCGGTAAACTGCGCAACTGTGCGGGAAGACTGACGATGACGGTGATGATGCAGTGTCGAGTTGAGCCTGTAGGCGGCAACGGTGACGTCACACTCAGCTATATCTGAGTATCCTCATTATTATTTTGGAAATATCACGGATACATAAGTCCTTCTTTCCTCTTGCTGTATTTGTGTTATGTATGTATCTCTTTCAATTTTGTTATTGTACTTTTTCTCTCCTTTGTTCCTCTTTTTATTTATTTTTTATATGTGTTTATATTATTTAACCTTATCTGTTACTATCATTTCTAATAATAATAAAAATAAAATAAAAAATCTGAGTATCTTCATGTTTACCATCGATTCAAAAGGCAACTAAACATTGAGTGTATCATCACAGTTTTGTTTATGTAAATTTTATATAAATGATGTTTACATTGTGAATTCCTTGGGTTTTTTATCTATTCATCTAATAATTTTAAATTTGTTATTTATTTAACAAACCCTGCAGTAAGTGGTAATCATTTTTTGTTCAAGAATTTAATGGACAACTGTGCTTTGTTCTGTAGACATAAAAAAAATATTAAGAGGGTCACTTATTGACATTATATATATTAGAACCCCCTGAAATATTTGCCCCTCTATTAATTTTGTCCCCAATTTTAGTTTAATGGAGAGCAGATTTTTTTCAACACATTTCTAAACATAATAGTTTTAATAACTAATTTCTAATAACTGATTTATCTTTGCTATGATGACAGTAAAACATATTTGACTAGATATTTTTCAAGACACTTCTATACAGCATAAAGTAACATTTAAAGGCTTAACTAGGTTAATTGGGTAGGTTAGGGTAATTAGGCAAGTTGTTGTATAACAATGGTTTGTTCTATAGACCATTGAAAAAATATAGCTTAAAGGGGCTAAAAATTTTGACCTTAAAATGTTTATTAAAAATATTTTAAAAACTGCTTTTATTCTAACGGAAATAAAACAAGTAAAACTTTCTCCAGAATAAAAAATATTATCAGACGTCCTGTGAAAATTATCTTGCTCTGTTAAACATTATTCAGGGAAAAAAATAATAATAATTCAAAGGGGGCTGATAATTCATTCATTTGTTTTCTTTTTGGAAAAGCTCTTTTCTGGATTTTGTGTTTCATTGATTATATGGGTACCTAAGGGATGCATTTTTCATCAGCTAATAACAAATTGTATAATATATTAACTTTTGCTGCCAGAAAAAAAAAACATTTTACTTAATTGGATTAGTGATAAATCTCCATCACTTAAAGGGTGGCACAAGATACTTTTTGAGTTTTTTTTTTTTTTTAGTTTTGAGTTTATTAGATTACCCCTGGAACCTATTACCCATGTTTTACACAAAAAACAGAATTTTTTTTTTCAAAGTTTGGACTCCATATTTGGAACCTAGTCCTTGCCCTATCATACTAAAAGGAATATTGTAACTATACTATTATCTGAAAAATGAGCCACGTTTTTAACCTTTTATAAATAAATATATATATTTATAAAAGGTTAAAAACGTGGCTCATTTTTCAGATAATAGTACAGTTACAATATTCCTTTTATATATATATATACAGGCGAAGCAGTGGCGCAGTAGGTAGTGTATATAGGTAGTATATATATATATATATATATATATATATATATATATATATATATATATGTAATCTTAGCTTTTTCCCCTTTTTTCTCTTCATTGTTTTTTGTGAATATTTTTCTTTGCATGTCTTTAGAAGTTTATTGTATTATATTGTATTAGTGTGTAAATCCGATAACCTTAATTATAAAAATAAGACTTTCTACAGAATAAAAACTTTTATAGGAAAACGTCCTTGGTCTGTTAAACTTAACTTAGGAAACATTATTACTTATTTAGTCTTTCTCTCTCTCTGAATTTAACCAATATTGCAATGTACTGTTTGGCATTCCCAAACCCAGACTCTTTATTTAAGATTTGTTCTTCTTTTTTATTTTTGTATTTCAAAAGCAAATGGTAATCAAACATGTTTACTATAGATTCGGCTAACTCACCTATTTAAAGACATAATTGAAATATGTAGAAAAGAAATAAAGTTTAAAGAAATGATCGAACCAAAATCATCTTTATAAAAAAAAAACAAGTGTAAACAAATAAACTGAAATGTCATTTTAATTTAATACAAATTCTACAAAAGAGCTTCTATATTCTATAAAATTCTATAAAAGAGCTTACAACACTGAGATTGAATGCATTTATAACCACATTTAAATACATGCATTTTGACTTACAAAAGAACTGATAAATCAAATCCATCTTCATTAAAACATGCAGAGAAAACAAATGGCATACTAATCTAATATAAATTCTACAATCATCTAAGATGTTACAACACTGATATTGAATGCATGAGTGAAAGCAAGCAGTGGAGTGTGTGCAATAATATGCCTCATTCAGTCAATCAATTACATTACAATCAAACAAAATCAGAAATAAAAAACCATACTGAATTTATCCTATGAAGTAGGATGTTGGCATCATAAAGTGTTCTGAGGTTTTGATGACATTATTGCAATTACATTAAGTAATAATAACTCAAACACAATAACAATGCAAGGACTAGATTGTGCTTAGCCATGATAAGATGACTAGATTAGACATGGGCCGTTAGAAGATTCTGACGATATAATCACCTTGAATAAAAATATTACGGTGTCACGGTATTGTGAATACTACTCTAAAATATATTCTTTTTAAATGTCTGGGTAAAAAAATAAATAAAACTTGTTTCCCCTTTGAACACAATATATTTTATTTTGAGAAACTTTTAATATATTTTAGCAGTAGCAGTAGCAGTAAACATGTCAGAATAAATCATTAAAATTAATCATTGACTTCTGCTGTCTTCTTTATTTTCAAAAACAATTTAAATTTACAATTTAAAATGGCATCTTTAGATTTATTTTCTGCCGGAGATACTGTTGTTAAAAGAAAAAAATAAATAAATTAGCAAATATGTGAAAAAAACTTACACATAACTTAGGAACGGTACTGCAAAAATTTTTGGCGGTTTTAAAACCTTGACTGTTCCAAACCGCAGTATACCTTGAAAACGATTATCGTCCCATGCCTAGACTAGATCACCTCATAAGAACATATTGCAAATCACACCATAATTAAAAATAATGTGCAAGATTATCTGAAGCTTTGCAATGACTTCATTCAAACAGAAAATAAAAAATAATAATGAATGCCACATGGACAAAACCGGTGGCATTTAACAAAAGTTTGATTGTGTCACTTGTAAATTCCATCTGCTTAACTAATCCACTATCTCCAAATGAGCACTAATGCTAAAGACAGGACTGTAACCAGAGGCGTTTGACTTTCGCTTCTACAAGCATGGCCCAAAAAGTAAGCTTCTGGAACTGTGGTGCGGATGAGCTTTTCAAAGCTTGACACTCGGGAATAGATACCTGGTCGGTTTTTCTGAGCACAACCAAGTCCAAAACTCACAACTCCTGCTTGAATCCATGTCCCATTGCCAACAGGACAAACCAGAGGCCCTCCGGAGTCCCCCTGAAAGACAGACATGATGTTTTTCACATGGTAAGACAGTCAGTGTGAAATGCTAGATTAGCCACATACCTGACAGGAATCCTTGCCTCCCTCTTTATATCCAGCACAAATCATGTCTGATAGGATGTCAACCGTTGATGAATCAGACGACAAAATCTGATACATAAATTGGCAGGACGATTGGTCAATAATGGGCACTTCGACTTCCCGTAGAGCTGCTGCTCCAGTGAGGGAAACTGAAGAAAAGACAATGTGTGAATAGAGACACAGATTACCCAATATGTCATTAGCCCACGTACAAAACAGTAACATAACATGAAAGAATAATAACTGTGATAAACTTTCTTCAGGAGATTGTTTGTTTGAATTTGTAAACTGAAAATGCATAATAAAAGACAAAAGAAAACTTTGTTTCTCACTTTACAAAATAGTTTTATTTAGCAATTATGAACAGCATAGAAACTTAACCCTTAATTTTTTTTTTACACTTTTAGATCAACAAAAAGATGTAATTTTGAGGAAAATAATCTTTATCATATTTTTAGTATTTAGTGTGTATTACTTTGTCACTTTTTCTTCTGATCTCTGCAAATATTTATATTTATATTTATGCGTTTTACACTCTTATACACTTAAAAAAGTAATAATGTTAATAAAATAAATAAGCAGATGTAGTTGTTTGAACTATGAGCAATACTGTATACAGTTTTAAATATCTTTATATTTTGATTTTTGATCGTTTTTTTGTGGCAAACATTTGACCATAAGAAAAGTTCAAATTCATGTTTTAAAACTTAACTTGGCAATTAATACCTTTAGGATTTGATTTATTTTCTTAAGTAAAAAGAAAGTAAAAATTTACACAACGGTTGATAAATTCACACCTTCAATCTTAACACTCCTATATAAATAATGAAGAATAGAAAATCATTTGAATCAGCATTACAAAAATTTTATTTATAATAAACATAACATAAAAATAGTTATTAACTACTTAGATTAGGATCATTAGATTTTTTTAATTAAATATTGCTATTATTTTAGTGCTTTAATTTTGCTTTTCATAGTGTAATTTATGGTGAATTATACTAAATCCAACTACCACTGCAAATATAAAAGTTAGATTTTAATCCTACTACTTATTTTTAATTAAGTTAAAGTTTGTTTTGTGTTCGCACTTTCGTACATTTTTTTAAACTGACAGGTTGTGACACGGTAACTATATTGTTTTATTCAGACTTTCTCTTTAATAATATGGTTTCATTAAAGCATTTTTTGACAATTCTAAATAGGGAAATCATAATAACAGCCAATGACTATCAAAATACGTTGTTCATAGTCAATAAAATAGAGCTAATGTTGTTTGAAGTCATACTGTCAGACCGAATATTGAAAGTAGTGTGACAAGTTGTCACTCTTAAAAACAAACAAATGTGTGTGTATATATATATATATATATATATATATATATATATATATATATATATATATATATATATATATTGTATATAAAACCTTGAGTAAATATGCCATCCACTTCCCTCTTGCAATTCAACTTTCATTTTATTCCCTCTCATGGACTACTCACTGCTATTAAATATTGTCATTTGATTATTAATAATTTTTGATTCACTTCCCAGCAGAAGCTTTTATCCAGAGTGACTTACAAATGATATTATACACAAACAAAATAGTAATAAATACAGCCAACACTCGTAAGAAAGCCAGTCATTTTCGTTAGTCTCTTTCTCAATACACTCACCACCCTCCTGTTTGTGTCCCCAGCCTGTCACGTAGCACAAGGTCCCACTGTTGAACTGGAAGTCAGCAAACGGCAGACACACAGGCTGAATCCTGTCTGTCCAGGAGACCGGAGCGCGCAGTTGCACCAACGCTACATCTCTGCCACCCTGAGGATCTGTGTATCCTTCAGGAATGACCACTCGCTGCACGTAACTGACCTTCTCAAACTGGTTATAGCCATTGAGCAGATGACGTCCCATGTACAGAGTGTACGCAGACACCTCTGAGGGGCTGAGAATAGGAGACAGAGAGCATTAACGTGTGCATATAGTCTACACAAGCATTAATAATATGGTAATAACAGTGGACAAGAAGCACAAATCCAGCACTTGATTAAAAGAACAGATTATCACTCTAGTAAAAGTATTAAGCACTAAAAGCCAAAGCAAAAACGTACGCCTTTATGTACTTCTATGTATTAAAAGTGAACATACTTATTAATGTTTATTTATTTTACAAAGAAATTGTAAGTTTTTATCCCATACTTGCCATAAACTGATAACAACACTACTGATAAGTAGTTTATAAAGGATAATCCAGGTTGAAATACAAATCTATAGACAAGCACATATTAAAATGTAATAAACACTGAATGTGTGCACACAAACATAAACATGCAATATAAAAAAGGATATATTTTAAACAATTTAAGAAAAATGCTTTGTAAATCTATACTAAGTTATTTTGTGCTACAGCTTCGGGATGTTTGTTTGTTTGTTTGTGTTTAACGACACACTAGCTTCTAAAGCTTTGTTTATAGTAAGAACACGTGTTCTGTAGTTATTTAATATACACTCAAATAATGATTTCTGACACTTGTTCAAACTACTTATTTAAAACGAGCTGAATCAACACAATTCTCCAGGGTTTTTTGGGACAGCTTCATTGCTTTATTGGTTATACACTTACATTTGTAAAAACAATGAAGTTAACTCAATCGATTTGCGTTGAGAGAACGCGATGTTGTGAATCAACAATGATAACAATACTACTAATAAGTAGGCTAAAGATAATCCAGGTCAAAATACAAATCTTTAGACAAGTACATATCAAAAAGGAGGAAACACTAAATGTCTGCTGACTAATATAAATATATGAAAATAAAACTTTTAACAGAAAGATTTTAAGAACAATGCTTTGCAGCTCTATACACCTGTGCTACAGGATCAGGAAGTTTGCTTGTTTACGTTTAACGCCATGCCAGGCTCTAGGGCTATGTTTTATGTACTACAGTTATATAATGTACACTTAAATAATTACATTTGCTGTACTTATTAAAATTGAGCTTAAACAACACAATTCTTAAGTTTGTTTGGAGGAAAGCTTAATTGTTTTATGTTCAACACACTTAAATTGGTAAAAACTAATTTGGTAACTTTATTCCTTAATGTTGTTCCAACACAAACTTTTTTTTTGAATAAATTTGGTTTTACAAGTGTAAAAAATCTCTTTAAAACAATTACCTTAATAAAACAGATTCCTCACAGAATTAAAGCCAACTAAAGCTAAATCTAGTAAAACATGCTTCATGGTTAAAGTGTGTTTACAAAGAGAACATGTTGGAGGATTTTCTCCAAGTATTAAAAAACTTGTATCTGGTCCTCAACATCAGGAAGACTCACTTTGACCAGATCATTTGACTTCTGACCAAATCAAAACTAATTCTGAGTACAAGTGAGATTTGTGAGAGAACAATGTTTAAAAAGTTTGATTTAAAATGTAGTGAAGTAAAATTTATAAGTTTCCTTAAACAAAAAATATTTTAATAAAAAAAGTGACTTCACCACTAGATGAAACGTACTTAGGAAAGCAGTGTGCAGCAGATAGGACCCAATTTTTAGCAATGATAGATCCACCACAAACATGTCCATTGGATCCCATCTGAATATCCACTTGCCAAGGCCACGATCCTGGTGATGCTTCAACTCCTCCAACAATGCGTTTCCCTAGCGGAGGCCTGCCGCACACTTACATCAGCAGGTCAGAGGAGATTTAGTGCAAATAAACTGTAGGGATTTTCTTACATGATCACACCTACCCTATAACTTCCCTGGAGTATTATTACATCTTCTCACTGTACTAATAAGAGGCTACACAAACAGGAGAAGGAAAAATGAGGCGTACGGGAAAGTGTTGTGGGTAAGGTTACAAAAGAGGAGGATATTTCTAAGGTTCATCATTCTCCTTTTCACTGATATTCAAATATAATTGATGAACACTCATTTTACTTTATTTACATCCTTTACATTTATGAATTTATATTTTATTTAAATGTACTGTAAAGCTGCAAGCAGGGTGTCAGAAGATTTACAGTCATAGATAGATAGATAGATAGATAGATAGATAGATAGATAGATAGATAGATAGATAGATAGATAGATAGATAAAACAAATGTTATATTACATTTTTTAAATGTTTTTTATTAATAAATATTTAATGTACAATAAATAATTTTAATTAGCAACACACACACACACACACATATATATATATATATATATATATATATATATATATATATATATATATATATATATATATATTTTTTTTTTTTTTTTTTTTTTACAAAATTCATTTAGTTTCTATAGACTTGAGAGGCTATATTACAAATATTACTAGTCATGTTTTAATAAACTACCCATGTTCTACCTAAACCCTATGCATTAGTATTAATATAACAAATATTAATGCCCCTTTTTACTGTGATGTGCAGGTCACAGAAAAAAATGATAAATATTGATAAAACATTTGATGTAATGTATATGTAAATCATTTTAGATTTTAAATATGCCAAATGTAAATGTGTTATTTACTTGTATTTATATTTATAAATAATCATTATTTAAATTTTAAAAACCAGTGGATGAACTAGTTTTGAAATATCATAAACTGTGGAAAAGAAGTCATGCAAGAACAATTTTGTGGTCAAGTGACAAACAAAATGACAGTAAATAATGAATAATAGGTGCAGTAAAACATAGAAAAAGCATATAGTCAACAGTTTATCTTTAAATATATAAAGCTATATATTTATAGTTGCAGTATTTCAATGAAATAATGATCTTAAGTTCATTCTTAAACATTTTAGTCGAAAGATTAAAAGAACATCGGAAATCAGTCACTGACCCATAAGATTAAATTAATTACCTTGTGCCAGACACGTTGACAATCCTGTAGATTTTAAGACAAGAGGAAAATCAAATTAGGAATTTTAACAATGTGACGAATCAAACAGTTATAATTGTATATAAATCATCAATGCGCCTCAATACAATTGAGCTACCTGTTGCCATCAAGAAGAGCTGTAGGCAAGAATCAGTCATTGTGTTCAGTCGGCTGAATATCGGTTAATAATCGCCTTCACGTTTAAAAGAAGAAGCTTTTAATTGTTCTTGGTAGTTCAACCAAAAAAACGATCGACTCTGTGGCCAACAACTCGGTATAAAACGAAAAAAAAGACTTGTAATGTAAAAAAAAATCCAATAATTCAAGAAGTATATTCCGGGTCACGCGTGGTCTACTCGAACAATAAAAATGTCAGCGAGCTCCGTTTACTTTTAAGCACAAGAAAACCATTTGAACCCAAACCTCCGAAGACCGACTGCGCCAAGCTAACAGATTTGTGATGCTTCTTTAAAAAGCTACATCTTCTTTTCTCTACAAGTTTGCATTTTAATCGGTTTTGATTAAGAAATGCGATATAGTTAAAATAGAGGAACTGACCACCGAGCTAAAGCACAGAAATGTTCATTAAGCAGAGAATGTATGAGGGTACCTGTACCTGTTCCCAGTGTCCAATCACGACGCGCGCTCCCAATCTCCTCCTCCTAAATAAGGAGCCCGTTGTTCTCCGGACAAAGATTCTAAACCTGGGGAGAGCCAAACTCCGGCTGCACGTCTTATCAATTAGACTCGGGTTATTTGTAGGATTAACACAAACAATATTCGATTTTAAGTGATATTAATATTTTACACAATTAATAAGTACTGAGCTCCACACATTAATTACTAAATAATCCATAAATCTGTTTAAAAAGTTATAAACATGTTATATGACTCTCTGATTCAACACAAATGGATTGGGTTTTACAAAGTAAACAAAATTATATTTTACTTCTAGCAAACATTTTCACCATTGTTTTATTAAAGCACCTATGTTTTAAATGTCATATTTGCATTAAAACTATTGCTCTAAAATACTTAAAACCCCTCTTAGTTCTTCTCAGTTCCACAGTATTAGTTACCAAGTTATTGTTGCTTAAGCTGAAGGGCCATTCTTTTTCCATTTGACCCTCTTAATCTTATGTATATATTCTCACTAGTGTATATAGGGATCAGCTTTCAGCTAAAAGCCAGACAGGTGCTGCATGTGCAATAGGTAATCCTGTACTGCCTAATGAATAATTCAGCAAAATGTTTCTTGACTTGCAACTTTTTCTTTTTAACATTGTCACATGGACACGATGGAAGGTTTGGTCTAAATATTAAACTACCCTGAGGCCAATTTAAACTGCTCAGACAAATGCCAATACCAACAAACAAGTGGCCCATTGGATGTAGAATGTCGCTGAAAAAACAGTTCACAATCGCCACACACAATAAACACAGTAATTAATGAATACTTCCTATGGCTAAATAGTAATTTTATGTAAAGTTTTACGTCAGTTTGTTGGAAAATCATAATCACACTGCTCAGACATTCCACCATTGGTGAAAATAAACTGACCAACAGCTGACCAAATGAAAATCATTACAGTCTGATCCAGCAAAATCTGACAGACTTGTTTGTTGCCATTGGTCTGTGCAGTAAGAAATGGCCTTTACAAAACAAAGATAAACTAAAGTACCACAATGATAAAACAAAGATGATGAACAATGATGTGAATATTACTATTCATTTATTTATAAAAAATAACAGACTCAATACAATGCGAATGTACAATCGTAGACATTTTCCTCTTGGAGAAAGTATTTCTACATGACATTTAGGTGTGAAAAACATCAGGGGTGAAGTGGCAGTCGTACTCTCCTCTTTACCGTTCATACTCCTCATTTTTTGGAGAACTTGGCCTGCTTGTGTTTTGGAGGTGCCCATTTCAAACAATGTGTGTCCACTGTAGAAGCATAGAAAGTTAAACGATTAAACTTTGGAGAAAAAAGAGGAAGGCTGCCCAGTTCAGCATTTGTTTTTCAGATGTTACCTGTTATTGGAGGTTTCTTATACTGGGCACTTTTCAGATGTTCCTCTACGAGTTTGGGAGTGACACAGATGACATGCTGACCTTTCCAGTACTTGACCATGTTCAGAGACTGTAGTGTGCTGATGATGTCACTCTGAGTGATGCTCGTCATCTGACTGTGGGCGCATTATGCATTAGTTGGCAATCATTAACAAAACCTTGGTAGTAAATTAGCAACTTTTTTTAAACGATTGCATAATGATTGTCTAAAATAAACACTCACCAAATGTACGTAAAAACTGTGTAAGCATGTATATAATACAAGGAGTGTAGAAAATATATTAAAGAGTCATGAAACCCCCTCTTTCAGGTAAAGTGTACGTCTTTTTTTTTTTAATGCACTTGATCTTCAGACAGTAAAGCGTTTGAAAGTAGCGTCTGTCAATAACTACATTTACATCCAATTGTTTTGATGCACATTTAAAAAATGCACATAAAAGATTGAGTTGATGGATTTATATTTTAGATTTTTCTGAGTGAGTTAACTAGCGACATTAGGAGAAGAAATGCTATTTTTCTTGGTGAAGTAGTTAAAGCAGGGGTCACCAATCTCGGTCCTGGAGGGCCGGTGTCCCTGCAGGGTTTAGCTCCAACTTGCTTCAACACACCTGCCTGGATGTTTCAAGTATACTTAGTAAGACCTTAATTAGCTTGCTCAGGTGTGTTTGATAACAGTTGGAGCTAAAATCTGTAGGACACCGGCCCTCCAGGAACAAGTTTGGTGACCCCTGAGTTAAAGGGTTAAATAAAGAAAAGATTCATGCAGTTTCTCTTTACTGTTGATACTTGGTGCCGGTTTATCAGGGAGCGACGATTTTGTTCTCTTTGATTTGTTGGATGGAAACGCTGCTTTATTCGCACGTCTTTAATGTGATATTCCAGTTTTGCACATAAAGTTAATTCGCATCTTTGGATGGAAACATTAAATTAAATTAAAAATAAAAAAATTAAATTAAATTGTCATGAATAAAAATTAGACAACACTTCAAAGCACTCATAGCCCTATGCTACATCACCACCAGTGATGCTGACTTGATGTAAATATTAAGACTAAAAGATGAAATTAAAGAGACAAAGCTCAAAATTACCATGTTTTTTTTCTACAATTAAAGCTAACAGATGTCTTGATAGATGTCAAATTATTAGTTGAGAGATTCATGACCCTTTATTGTCCAGTTTGATTTCACTCCTAAAATATTCGTTATAGGCCCTGATTGTTTAGGTATACCTCATAGGTCTCAAACTTAATAGTGTATATGCGGAAGTATGCTAAAGGACTTTTAATTGGTCAGTAACCTGGGTTAAACGCTTCCGGTGAACTGTATGCCATTACAAAATCGTCCAGTTTAAGCTCTGTTTCTGTTTTTAAATTATCGATATCTGATATAAAGTGAGGCTCAGATTGTACAAGAAGCACTGCATTAAATTACATATTTCCCCACCATGTCTTTAAAACATGAACATTTATTTTACCCCAGTATATTCAATGGAGCTTCTGTGCTAGCTTGTCGATTCTGATGGGATGGGCGCGTGTGAGTAAACGCCTTTTTGTCTTGTTTTACACCTGAGCAACTAAATGAATGTCAAAGTCTATTTAACTGAATGTATTGTAATTACATTACAACTTCAATACTGTAAAAGTATTGAACCCGTGTAACCGTTCACGGAAAGTTTATTAATATGGTAAGAAACACTAGCTCCGCATATACCCTGTTTCTGGAGGGCCGGTGCTCTGCACAGTTTTGCTCCAATCCTATCAAACAGCTGATCCAAATAATGAAGGTGTTCAAAAGAGTCATGAACACGTTCATTAGTTGAATCAGCTCTATTTGACCAGGGTTGGAGAAAATCTGCAGTCCTCCAGGAATTGAGTTTGAGACCTATGAGGTATCCGATTATACTTGAGCACATGTGACCTTGTGCTTGTAAATTCAGACTGGATGTGTACCTGAGATCTTTGATGGAAAGTGTCCCTCTGAAGTCCCGCAAAATCTCTAGTAGTACCCATGACCAGTAACTCCTATAACTCAACTTTCCCAAGTCTGACAGAGGCTTCTCTGGAGAGCCCACTGTGCTTTCCAGCTTAGATAACTCATAACCTGAGAAAAATCATGACACAAGAAAAAGTTATCTATCCAGAAAGGGTCTTATATCAGATGTAGACAGTTGGTGAATCGGTGTTAAGACTCACTGAATGCAATTAGAAATTTTCCATATCCTCGTCGTTGATATGGAGGAAGGGTGAGAATACAAGCAACATTGTTCCCATCAGGAGACTCTTTTTCCTGTTCAGGGAAAACATCATAAAAGCTTATTCATTTAGGCACACTACAGTAATACAATATACAACGTCAAAAACAAACAAAAGATAGAGTTTACCTTGGAGAAGTAACCCACAATATGCGCTCCCTGTTTGTTGACTTCAGTGAGGATGTAGAAGATGAATGGTTCAACATCAAAGTAAAGTGTTTTGTGATCCAGAAACAGCTTTGCCAGGAGGCACAGATTCTGACAGTAGATCTACACAGAGAAAGACAATAATTACACTTGAATATGGGTGGAAATAGATCACGTTAAATTTTCCCTTTAATTCAAACTTTTTAGGTTTTGAGGTCATGAACTGATTTTTCTGTTGTAATAAAGGTTAACAGCTTGCATAATTTGGCTCACCTTATGGTCCTTCCCATCAACCTCATATACAGAGATATTATTTTTGCGATAAATCTCTTTGCCTGGAGGCTGGCGCCACTGACACTGTGACTGAAACAGGAGCCATCGAAGAACAAAGACAAAAAAAAAACAAAAGACAAGATACATTTAACAAGAATGTTTAACTTACTCTGTTAAATCAGATGTACTCTAAGACAAAAATCACAGAAACACAACACAAATGATTTATGATCAATAAAGACAAAACACTGATCTAAGAAAAAGATACACTTAAAATTAAGAGCTACAGTCCTCAAGCCAGATAAAAACCTGAATTCAGATTTAATAAAAAAAAAGCCTAACATAAAACAAACAAAATGTGCTTAAATGCCTTAAAAGGCATCTATTTTACCCCCTTTTCATGATTTAAGAGGAGTCTTTTGTGTCTCCAGAATGTGTCTAAAATTTCAGTTTAAAACACCCATTAGATTATTTATTATAGTATACTTTTTTAGAACATGAGATTTTCTGCTTTGAACACAATGTAGCTGTTTTTGTTGTCTGTGCCTTCAATGCTAGTTCTCCCCACCCACCTTTCCCACGTGCCTGTCAATGTGCCTTAATCTCCACCTCGGCTGCGTCAGATAAACAGCACAGTGACAGACATGAAGGTAGCAGATCTCACGTAACGTTTATAAACACTACAGTAACTAACTACAGTAAGAACTTTACCAATAATTATGTTCACGGTTATAATTATGTTAAGGAGTTAATTCAAGCCTTTCAGCAACGATGAGTCAAAAAAAAAAAAAAAAAAAAAACAAAGTTCACACATACACACACACAGTGCGCGTTTAATTGGCACCGCAAATGTGACAGGACACACGTTAATATCCAATGCTTTATGGATATCCGTTATGTTAAGGTACAAGATAAACCTAATTTAACATCCAC